GTAAATTTAAAAATAAGAACTAAAATATATAATTACAATAAATAAAGATTTATTGATGGCTACATATTATCATATAAATAGTTTATTATTTTATCATATAAATGTTGTTTATTAACCTTTTTTTAATTGTAATTTATGAATCAAAATATTTCATTGTCCTATGACACTATGAGATGATTTTTCAAGCTTTTGGCTCTAAAACAAAAAAAAGTTTTCAATTTTTTAAGCTCTTTTACAGCATATGGCCATTTTCCATTATTGAACAAATTGTTGTACACATTATGCAGTTTGTAGATATTAATTGTGGAAATCAAGTTTTTTACTAAATCAACACTGGCACTGCTATCAGGTGTAGGTTTTGTATGAGAATAATTTAAATTTCTAGATCTCAGGTACTAGCTCTCAAATCTTAAAAATCTGGATAACGTCCAGTCTATTTTGAATGGTAATAATAAAAATAATGGGTAATATTGCTCCAGGGCAGGTTTGAGTTAAAATCTAACTCGATTCAGTTAAGAATAGTGTGACAGATTTTCCATTGCCTTTCACACCGCAGTGCACGAAATGAGCTATTTTCAATTTAAAACATATCTTTGATCTATATTTTCAAGTGAAAATGGATATCGCTGCAACCCGATGTCAGATTATCCAGAGCGGAGGCTTCATCTATCTTCATTTAAAAATAAATCAAAACAAGTTTATTACAATATTTAAATTTGGCATCAATATAAATCACGAAAGTGTGTCATTTTGTATAAAATAAGCACGAAACGAGTAAAGAAAGATAATGACATACATAATCCTAGTAATGATGTGAAAATATTATTTATTTAAAAACGTTATTCATTATATTATATGTTAGTCTCTATGTGAACTACGAGAACAATTCACGCACAGCACACTTTCCACAAATCACATAAAAAGCGCGTTGATATGGCAATGACTATATATGGCTTTCTAATGCAGTTTACTCTGATTATATATAAATGTAAAATGAAATATGTCAATTATTTAGATAAAATACACTCATTCGTTTTTTAAAGACACTTCTGTATAATTTATAAATAAGTAAATGACAATTTGACGACAGATATAAAATAATAATGGTAGAGTGGAGCACAAAGTTCCAATTTGATATTTTCAATTCAATTTTGATTTTTCAATTTCCAATTTGAAATATTGTTGTTAAAAAATTCTTAACGTTACTTGTTTTTGAGATATCGGTGGTGGAGCTTTAAGCCCCGCTCTACCCATATATAAATTATTTTCCTGGTTCATTATGAAATCATAATCATAATTTTAAATCAGGTTCATAATAATGTCTTCTAATAATTCTCCTTATTAAATTATCACATCCATTACCAAATCGATAAATAGTTTTAATAATTTGTGAAACAGAGTGTTTTTTTACCAACTTCCTTCATAGCGAAAGATTTTTATTTATTTATTTCCTTGAAAAGGTATAAGCATCTAGAAAACTTTTCAGAGAACAGAACATTTCAGTTTGAAACTACCTTATTACTCTGTGAGAGAATAAAATAATTAAATTGTCAGCAACAAGCGAACGTGACTATGTACAAAACAATACATCTGAAGATATGAAATAACTTGTCATAATTTTGTTCTTATAAAGTTTTGTTATTTATCATTGCGCTGATTAAAAACGTGTTTTTGCTCTAATTATGAGTACCTTGCAATATTATTGATGTTATATGCTCCAGTAAAGTGATTAAATGGATTTTAACAAGAGTGATGATGTCTTTTTTAATATTCTCTATTTATGACTTATTTTATGTGATAAGTAATGAAACTAGTGCATAATGAACATTAATAGAACAAAAATTATCATATGGTTGCTAAAAACAAAAATTCCATTAAACTACAAAATGGTAATGAAGCAATCACCACAATCTGATCAGATGTTGCTCGTCATTGACATAGTCTTGTCGCAGTAATTAGTTCAAACGTGTAACGCGCCTTTAAAAGTTTATTTTGAAGTTGTTTTTCTCATGTTTTTCGGGCCATATTTTCTGTAATTTCTAATTATGTCTATTAAAATCAATAATCTTTTGCCAGTACTAGTGATTACGATCAATTTTATTGCAATTATCAGATGTTTGATGATTTTTTTTCATTTTCGTATAGAGCACTGTCTTCACTAAGTCCCTTGATCAATTATTGAAAACAAATACATGACTTGACTGTCTGCGAAGGTGATAATATAATAATCTCATTTTATGAGGAAAGTTTTAAATTACTTCGTTTTATGACGAGTACGTGTAGAAGGCTGCATTAACGCCGCGCACGAACTTCTAGAAGTATATCTCACCTGCAGAACTACTTACTTCATCAGGATAGTATATTTTTACTCAGTCTGTAAACTATAAAATTTCGAAGATGCAACAGGTTTTATTTAGATATAACACAAATTGCACTAAAATTGATTTTGTTTAAAGTATATTAAAACACGCCAAATTCTCTGTAATCATCTACAAAATCAATCAATTTGATCAGGGTGACACTTTGAAACTTTGAAATTGCTTTTAATTTAAGTATGGAATGTATGGAAGTTTTACTGGATAAGGAAATTGAATACTGTAGTATACCAATAAACCTATATCAAATGACTAAATGTGTAAGTCATAAAAATATAGCTTGGCTTGTATGGATAAGTTTATAAAGCCTGCGGAAGAGTTTACTTCGTAAATAGAAAGCACTTTGATAATCTATATTTATTGAACTCCTCCTACTAATTACATATTTGCTGAGATTTAACCGTGTGTACGTGAATGATATTATCCTGCCATATAATAATGGGTTCGATGATTATATATGTATACATACAGGGTGTCTTAGAACTCAACATCAAAACGATACAGGATGAAAATATCCAAATTCTTTTTGGAGTTTTAAAATTATGAGCTTTAAGGTAAGGCGAAGAAGCTTTGGTCAAGTTGTAACCATTTTTCGGATATTGTGGTTCATTTTCATCAATTTTGTTCATTTAAACTTTGGATCCGTAACCGTAAATTACATTTCTAGAACCATAGATAAAAATAATTATCAGGTCTTAATTGCATGAATTATAAAGTTGGAATAGTGGAGTCAAATCGGTTCCTTGAAAATAATCGTTAGAATTTTCTCAAAATTTCTCAAATATTGTTTATTTTTTACCCCTAATTGATTAACTCCACCACTTGACTAAATTTGACTTAACCACTTATTGGTGTGGTAGTCTAAATTACAGCTTTGCATTACCATGGTCTTCTCGTCCCATGTGTTGCAATATGAACCGATGCAATTCCATCGCTATTATGACATAGGTACCTGTATCTATTTGTATAATTATAGAAGGTGATCTTGGCCTATGTGTTCGCATTGTAAACAAACATACAAACAGACAAACAATCCGAGGCGTCCTACGGCGGACCCGATACCAGCGAACTGCCGACATTACCCATTTGACATGCTAATCAAGCATGAGCTTTGCCTTTGCACACATGCCAACGATATATGGATATATAGATACATAGAAATATGGATATATATGAATATGGAATACAAATATTCATCTATTGTAATACATCATTCGCAATATCCATCTTGCTGTATGGAAATGCAGAGCTGGTATACTTCATGTCTGGTTGTCCATATACTTCTTCATGGACTGAAATCTAATTAATTTTTTCTTACCAATATATCTGTCTGTTCATTTTTAAAATAGATTAGATTTTATATGATGCATATATATATATTTACATTAATATAAAAATAAGTCGGGTTTTCCTTCCTGACGATATAACTCCAGAATGCACGAACCGATTTCGACAGTGGTGCATGGCATCGTGCTTCAATGCAAATTGCTGGATCTTCACGCGCCGTAATTAAAAATTCGAGTAATGACATTAGTAAGAATTATCAGTATTATGCTTGGTTAAGTCAACGAGCAAGTCTTGCCGCAAAGAATAATGATGTACACACACTGAATTTCACCATTCAATCAAAAATTGCTGGCGATTTGGTGACATACCAATGATTCCGACTGGTCTTCCGTGTGACTTCAAACGATTGCAATTTCCAGTTCGCCCTGCGTTCGAAATAACAAGTCGCAAGGCCAATCGCTTAGTGTTTGCGGGATAAATTTCAAATAGATTATTTAGAAAATCATTGTTTTTCACATGGGCAGTTATACGTTGCCTGTTCACGAGTTGGGAAACCATCTGCTTTGTTTGTGTTAACGTCAGACCAAAAAACAAAAAATGTGGTTTACCAAAGAGCACTTCAATGAAACGGATAATTTGCGGATTCACTTTCATTTACTAGAGAAGTTCAACTAAAAAACACTTCATTTTTGTAATCGAAATAAATTCATTAGTGTTGTGTAGTAAAATCAAATTTTTCCTTTTCAAATATAAAACAAACAAAAATTTCTTCATCTTTCTCACGAAACCATCTGGTGGCGAAACGGAGTTCGTCGGGTATGTTAGTATATATATATACATATATATATATATATATATATATATATATATATAATTTTTCCCTAAGATGTGATCTCAAATTCTTCGACTACTCTCTCCGGGCAGAACTTTCGGAATAATAGGTCTTCCTTGTAGGTGCAGATCAAAAGTTCCGTCGCATGGTGTAATATATAAAAATTTAAATTCGGTATAAATTATATTCGATAACTAATTTTATATAAAGAACTTTTTTACTTTTAAAAGTCAGTTGAAAACTCGAGTTGTGATAATGCTTCAACTATTCTCCAAGGGTAAAACTTTTTTGAAACTCAAAAAATGCTTGTAAAGTATAAAGGATAATAATTAAAAAGTTAAGGATAATTTAATAATTAAAGTTTTCCCTTTGGACCATATGTCATAATCAGTATAGCTTAGCTGTTATGGCGACTGTCACTACCGTACCCTGGCACAACCGTACCCAGCCTGCCCTACTTATATAAATTTATTAATTCCTATTACAACGTGACAATGATCACTTACCGATCATGAGAAGGGCGGCCGTGAGATGAGACGTGGGTGCTCCCCCAAGGCCCAGGGCACCGAGAGCGGCGCCTCCGAGCGCACACGCGACCCCTCCAAGTGCCACCACTGCGATCAGCGCGCGAAGGGGTGGTCGCGCGCCACTGAAACCGCAGCAGCCTTTGCCTCGGGGCTCCGATATTGATCTGAAAATAAATAAATATACTTTAATACACAGTCAAATGTATGGTATTTATTTGTTTAGAAATGATATTGGAAACTACAATATTTTATTAAATAGAATTAAAACGGTTATGGAATGCGATGGTGGAGATAGGGAAAAACGTCAAGTTTTTATTTGTAGGATATTCTTTTTAATATCTACGTAAAAATTCTTATAGGAAACTAGTGGTGCATCGTGCCTTAAGGAAAATTGCTAGAAATTCCTTTACCATAATTTAAAATTTTTAAAAGCTTTGAATTTTTTTGAAAAATATGCTAAAATTAGATTATTTTGAAAATTTTGAGAAATGTCGACTTTTTTTAAATATTAGATTTTCTTGAAAATTTTAATTTTTTTTGCAAAAATCGGCTTTGAAAATTTTAAAATTTTTGAAATCCATTCATTCAATTCATTTGATACATACTGTCCAAAATGTCGACGACATTTATTTGGACTATATAAGTAAACTTTAAACATTATAAATTTTGGTACGGAACCCAAAAAAATAGAAACAAAATTCATACTTATTACTAAAATCTCTATAAAATATCCGTTAAGATGATGTGTATATGTCTAATGATCATTTATGACCGCTCAAATGATATTTTTTTATTGGTTTTACAAAATGTCTGGACCTGCCTTTGCAAAAAACTAATCAGAACGTCTCCCCATCAATAAGAGTCGAATTTTGAATCATTCAAATCGGGTGATCCATACTCTCAAATTCGTGGACAAAACATTGTATCTGCATAGAATTGCCAAAATGTTCAGAAAACTTTGAAACGTAAAGATAAGTGGAAATTTTACAAAAAGTTATATAAAAAATACTTTTTAACTTCCCGTAGGGCAAGTTATAGTAATCGCAAAAAAATCGAAAATGAAAATTTTTATATATCTTTACGTTTCAGAGGTTTCTGAACATTTTGGCATACCTTAGAAAAAATGGATGTATGTGTGTGTGTGTGTATGTGTGTGTGTGTATGTGTGTGTGTGTGTGTGTGTGTGTATGTATGTATGTATGTATGTACGTGTGTGTATGTATGTGCGGATACAAATTTTCGTCTACGATTTCGGGAACACGGATCAACCGATTTGAATAATTCAAAAAACATTCGATTCGTATTGATAAGGAGACGTGCTGATTAGTTTTTGGCGCAGGGAGGTCTAGCCGTTCCGAAGATACGGGGCAAAAAGTGCCGAAAACGGTAACTCAGTTTTTAAGAGAACGGAGCGTTCGATTTGAATAATTCAAAAAATATTTCACTTGTATTGACAAGATGAAGAATCAATAAAAATTTTCATGAAGGTAGGTCTAGCGGTTTCGGAGATATGGAGGAAAAAGTAAAAAAATGAGCCATTTGGCGGTCAAAAATGATCATTAGACATATGCACATCAAATTATCAGATATTTTATAGAGATTTTAACAATAAGTATACATTTTGTTAACATTCCTATGGGTTCCGTACCAATGCTTATGCGTTAGACAGCGACGCGGCGCTTACGCGCTTTATATATTGTCCCTATGCAGTTAAAGCAGTATGATTGCTTTGAAAATAAAGTTCAGATCTTCCACAATATGTCAAAATAAAGAAAAAAATTTTTCAAAAAAAAAAAAATTAAAAAAAAATTTTTTTTGTCCAATTTATAGTTTCTCAAAAATCTTATTTTTCAAAGTAATTTTTTTCAAAAATGTTAATCGTTTTTAAAAAAATAATAATTTTTGGTACGGGAAGTTCCAGCAATTTGCCTTAAGGCACGATGCCTTGATTGCCCTTGGACAGAATTCCACTTACAGCTAGTTAGAACAGCAATAAAAGTTCTTTGAGCTATTGGCATGGTACTTCTTAACTACGTGATTTTTTTTCAGAAGATAAACCAATCGCTCTAAAAATATCCTAAGATAATCCAATCCTCTAAGATTATTTAATTTGATGATGCAATGCCAAAAAAAAACTATTTTCCTTTGTAAGCATGTTATAGATCTATATTTTCAAGTATTACTGCTTGTTATAAGACTGCCCAAGGTATGGAGTTTGAAAATGTAGGTTTAAAAGAAAATTCCTTCCTACACAAAAATTCATATAAATAAACAGTATATAGCCAATAAATGAATAAATAAATAGCTAAGTATAACCCAAAAATATCGTATTGATCTAAAAGTTTTTATTGATTATAATTGAAAACTAGCTGTAAGTGGAATTCTGTCTTAAGGCAATTAAGGCATCGTGCCTTAAGGCAAATTGCTGGAACTTCCCGTACCAAAAATTATTATTTTTTTAAAAACGATTAACATTTTTGAAAAAAATTACTTTGAAAAATAAGATTTTTGAGAAACTATAAATTGGACAAAAAAAATTTTTTTTTAATTTTTTTTTTTTTGAAAAATTTTTTTTCTTTATTTTGACATATTGTGGAAGATCTGAACTTTATTTTCAAAGCAATCATACTGCTTTAACTGCATAGGGACAATATATAAAGCGCGTAAGCGCCGCGTCGCTGTCTAACGCATAAGCATTGGTACGGAACCCATAGGAATGTTAACAAAATGTATACTTATTGTTAAAATCTCTATAAAATATCTGATAATTTGATGTGCATATGTCTAATGATCATTTTTGACCGCCAAATGGCTCATTTTTTTACTTTTTCCTCCATATCTCCGAAACCGCTAGACCTACCTTCATGAAAATTTTTATTGATTCTTCATCTTGTCAATACAAGTGAAATATTTTTTGAATTATTCAAATCGAACGCTCCGTTCTCTTAAAAACTGAGTTACCGTTTTCGGCACTTTTTGCCCCGTATCTTCGGAACGGCTAGACCTCCCTGCGCCAAAAACTAATCAGCACGTCTCCTTATCAATACGAATCGAATGTTTTTTGAATTATTCAAATCGGTTGATCCGTGTTCCCGAAATCGTAGACGAAAATTTGTATCCGCACATACATACACACACGTACATACATACATACATACATACACACACACACACACACATACACACACACATACACACACACACATACACACACACACACATACATCCATTTTTTCTAAGGTATGCCAAAATGTTCAGAAACCTCTGAAACGTAAAGATATATAAAAATTTTCATTTTCGATTTTTTTGCGATTACTATAACTTGCCCTACGGGAAGTTAAAAATCTGAAGAAAATTTTCGACAAAAAGTAAAAATTGTTCAGAAAATTGTTAAAAATATTATTCAAAAATATTGTCCATTTCGCAATAAAAGTATGAAAAAAATAAAAGTAATATTGATCATTAGTTTAAATAACAGAGTATCCTTATGCTATGTACTCCTGTTAGTACTATTTAATTTTTGCATAAAATTAATTTAAATTTGGTGGTTATCAAAAATGTTAATTTAGATTACTGATCTATTTTATGACACAATAATAAAAAATTACAAAAACTGCGCATCAAAAAAACAATAATTACAATACAATTCCTTTCATAATCACTTCTAATAACTATCATTTCATTACGTGTGAATTACCTAACACCTTTATTACAACCAAATGTTTATGTAATAATGAATTAATTGCAAGTGCTACGGATCAAAATCATAACTAAATATTCATAAATCAAGACAGTGAAATTTTATCGTCTTCACAAAAAACTTAATCGCAATTAAGAAAGTGTTACGAATCCACAAGCAAAAAAATATTTTCTTCATTAATTACTAAATATTCGTTAACGAATTTTTAAATTTTATTGCTGATGACTACAGCGTTTTTTTAATTACTTTCATATTGAAATATCAATTTCGCATGTGGACTGATTTTGTAAAGTTTAATTAAGGTAATGGTTCCATAGCCCAGTGTAGAATAAATTGATCAGAAAGCAAAATCAGGACACTTTTTTGACGTATTAAACTTTTATTGAAATGGAAATTCAATAACAACATATGCAATAGTTTGATAGAAAAAAATCACCTATTTTAATTGAATTATTTATGCAATCAAAAACAGTTAATAATCAAGTTAGGACACAATTCATACTAGAAAAAATATTGAACAAGGATTAGATGATAATATATTTTTAACTATAAATCTGAAGTGTATTAATGAATGAGCAATTTGTTTGTATCGAGATAGCTAAACAACTAAAAATGATAAAAGTTCAATTACATTTATAAGGTATATGATGTGATAAATGATATTTGATGCATTTATAACAACAACAAAATTTGCTTCAACAAATTCTTTGAGCAGTGTAATATTTTATCCCTCTGTTCCAATAAGAAATCGCATCCAAGAAAACACGATTCTATCTGATACCCTTCCAGAGGCGAATATATAGTGGTGCCATATTTCTTCCATGAATGTAAAAATACTCTTCTGCGAGACATCTTAGCACCTTTTCATATATAGTCATCTGGTTCCTGAAAGATGACCGTTTTTCTCAAATTTATGGGTCAAGCGGTTTTCGGACGAAGGAAAACAAGTGATTTATTGTGGGGCGGGTGAAAATTGCTTAGAACTGCGCTAACAGCATCTGCACATTAATCTCAAAGTTGTTAGTGAAAAGATCAGGTTACTGTTAAAAAATTAGTTGGTAATGGAAAATGATGTCAATTAAGCAATGCAAGGAAGACAATCTCATAATACATTTACATCTAGTAAATATAATTTGGGGCGCATCCTTAGGATCTTTAGAATAATGTGTTTTTGGAATTACGATCCAGTCATATTGCGAACATTTAGTAATTGTTAAGATGTTAGTCTCTAGCTTATTTTGAAAGCAACCAAGTAGTTTTCCTATCCTACCAAAAGTGCTACCTAGTTTTGACATATAATGACTGACAGGTCAATACCAAAAAACCAGTCGTTTACCTAAGCTTCCCTTAGGCAACCATTCAAAATGTATCAAAAAAATCCGGGAATCTCTATTAATTTAGTGATAGTTAATTTGTTCTATAAAATAAACATATTCTCATTTATGTATTCTCACTTCTATAACAATTAACGTCGTAGATGAACAATTTCCCAGGTTTACGGTGCTCGGTTTGACCTTTTGGGCGTTATCATAACGGCTTGCGCGATTTACGTCCAAAACAATTCATCATAGCTGTATTTGAACCACGTCCATACCACTAGGCTGGAATCTATGATCGCATAAAATTGAAAAATTTTAATATATTTAATTTATATTATGGCATTGAATAAAAATAAAGCATGTATTCATTCTGACAGTATTGAGTTGACTACTGTCATATACAATGTTAATGTGTGTGCAAAGTCCATCCAAGTTTAGGTAAATTAGGCACATTTTTTCATTTCTTATAATAAATTACAATTTGTTTTTCTTATAGTAAACATATTTAGCAATTATTAGGTATACAGATTACTGGGTATACAGATACAACCAAATAATGTTGACCCACTGGTATACTCTTTTTTATTGAAAATTAGAAACATTAATCTATGTTTGATTCTAAGACAAAGCAGAAATTGGATTTTGAGCTGGTGGCAGCGTGAAAATATTTTTCAAACAAATCATTTTTTCATTCGATTGAGGTGACATTTATCAGATACATACAAAATTGATGTCAGTCTTACATATCGTGCCTTTTTAATTTACTTACTTATATTTATAGAAATTATATACTGTTGATAGAAAAGATACTAGAATAAAAAGTAATGATCAAAAATAAGATCAAAATTATTCAATTTACCAAGGCTGGACAAATATTTGGCAAAAATAATATTTAATATTTTCCAAATTACTATACTATAAACTATAATTGTTAATATTAATGATTTGTTATAAAAATATACTTTTAGACTCCTTTTATCCTGATATGTAAAATACTGTGTGTTTTTTCGTTTTAGAATGATTTATACATTTTGTAGATTGTACTAATAAGTTGAAATTATAAACAATACATTTCAGGATTTAAATTAATTAAAAAGAATCAAGTAAATATTGACAGATATGTGAGTGTGATATAAAGACATATTATGTGAATGTGCATACAAAGTCATGTTGAAACCAATTTGGACGTACGGAATACAGCTTTGGGAAACGGCTCGCAAATCCAACATCGCCATAATTCAAAGATTTCAGAACAAGATTTTGAAAGAAATTATAAACGCACCCAAGTATGTCCCAAATTGGTTGCTTTATACAGATCTGAACATCAACACAGTTAAGGGAAAAAATTGATAAGTTCAGTCTGAGATATAAGGATAGAACCACCTAAACATCATGGCCAAAAACTTAATAAAAAACCATGGCATTGAACGTCTCAGAAGAAAACGGCCCCTTTTTGATATTCTTTAGTAATCATATTTACCTGTAAGCTTTAATTAAATTTTTTCATATCAGAACTATAAGCTAAACATATCCAACATCGAATCGGATCACCACTGGGTGACCATTCGACCTTTTTTCCTTACTTAATAAACCATTAAAATTACTGAATGTTGTTTATGACGACAGATTGTAATTCACAAATGTAAATAAAAAAATATGAATGTTGATTTAAGTTTAAGTAAATTAGAAAACCAGAAATATATATAATCGTTGATATATGATTTATACATTTGAAAAAACTGGACTAATAAGTTATGAATATAAATAATGCAATATTGTTGATTTATATCTATTAATCTTAGCTCTCCGTTCATGGAGTCTTTGCCTTAAAAACCAAAGTATCCGGGAAGTCAGCTTCTATATCTACTATAAACGCATTATGTATATATGCGTGCATGATAACCGACATCAGATCTTTACTGATCGATCATAATATCGAAGTATTTATCATAAAACTAACAATGCAACAATATAAAGCCTATATTATAGCAAATATTAAAGTTTACGTTCGGAAAATATTGCTTCAGCCTCGGGCTAGGCAAGCGGTGCCTGGAATCCAAGACTTCGGCGTTTGCAAAATAAGGAATATTTTGATATGCTTAAAGTAGTATATATACGTGCATATATATTATTTAAGGATATACGACCGAATACTTCTGAGAAAATATTATATTTTTACAAATGCGAGCGCTCGATATATGCTGGTAAATGAAATATAACCTTAGGTCACGAGGAAAGGAATACTTCTATTTGCATTTACATTTATTTTGCATTTGCGTTTATATTTAAATTTATATCTGGATCGGTTCTTTCTTCAATTCAAGACAATAAGATGGTTTTTATTATTAATACGCAATAAGTATTATATATCATATCAACTTTAAACAAAAACAATGTGTTTATACAACGGAAATTATGTGCAAGCTGTTTGTTAGAGAGCTTTTTGAGTAGTAAAACTTCTTTAGGCGCGACTAGGGTGTAAATTGTTCAAATGCAACGGAAGTGCGTTACGGCAGATAAGAGTCGAGTGCCAATGATTCGTCATTCGCTCTCGACGATCATTTCTATACGGGTCGATTGTGATTAGTCGTCGCGTATGTGAATAGAGATCTGTCGTTGTATTGGTACCGGCATCGACATTGTATGCGTACCTATATCGACAAAGAATTCGGCATAGATAAATAAACATTTTAAAGTTACATTGTATTACAAATCTAGATATTCGTAGTTTCTATAAATCTTTGAAGTTATTAAAATGAAAAATATTTTTTAGGCAAGACAGATATTACAGTTGTTCAAAGAATGAGATTATATCGCCAGCGAAAAAGTAAAAAAAATCAAGCTGCCAATAAATGTATGTTTATTTTAATTACATGAAGTTCTTCAAACACAAGTACATAATGAGTGAAGTTGCGAAAACAATATTTGTTTACGCGTTGTTTAACATAATCCGCTGTGTGAACGAATATTAGAGAATTTATTAATCAATAATTACTTCATTTCTCTAATAAAGGTTCATTTCTAAATGCTAATTACAATGACAAACCGATCATGTCATATTTGAAGTAGACTTTAATTACATTTTACCTTAAAAAACATATTACTTCAATTCTGACGACACAAAACTGGGCACCACAGTTAACTGAGAATTAAAGTTTAGCAAATAAAAAGGCAAATTAGACAAAAATGAAATGCTAAGGTAAAGATTACATCAATGCATACTGCCAGTTAGAGATAGATCTTTCAATTAACCCTCAGTGTTCGATTTCCCATTTGCAAAGCTTCTGCTTCCATAATCTACCACAAGAGTATCCACATTTAAATTTCAATTAATACAAAACGGATATTACGAATAGTTTCAGATTGCAAACGGAACAACGTCGAGAATTCGAAATCCATGACAGGTATTGTTATGTCGTTATAGTTGTAAGAGATTACCGTCGATGGACGCCAAAGTACTACAATTTCCCCTGAAAATAATAAATCATGAAGGGTATAAATGTCTTACTCATGCCTTGTCTATGTCGTTTATCTGAACATGCTATTACTTTGAATTATATGGAAACAAAACAGACATAAGGAAGTTCCTCAGGATAGCAGCAGCCTCTCTAAATGATACCGTTTATCTTAGAAATATAAAAAAAGCCGCCAAGTATAAGTACATTCTTAAATGACTGTAAAATTACACACATAATTGATTACTCGTAATATTTATGCTCATACCTACATGAACATAAAATATTACGAATCAGATTATATAAGGTTATGTTTTCTCTACCTAAGACTTGGGATTTCTTATAACAATGTTATAATTTATCTTTTGGTAAAAATTGGTGGAGATACAGTCATGATAACACAATAGTTTTTACAGAGTTTTATTCATTTATTTAATTATTCATTCTTGGTAAATAAATTAACCAAATATTTAATCTACGTTGCCTCTATTTAATATGTATTTTTACTATTGATATTTAACAAAGTGATTATTCACCTTTTTATTATTTTGAACAGCGATCAAAACTTAGGAGTCCTATAAACTGTTGGGCTAATTTGACTTGATAGTATGTCGGTTTTTACAAATGGCAAACCAAATAGTTGTCTCATCCCTACGTGATAAATTTTATTATTACAATTTCTGTAATAGAGCGAATATTTTATTGATGTAGCAATGCCGATTAAAGGCTATTTTCGCTAGAAAAAATATTACTATCTATATCTCCAAGTGAAAACAAGCATCACTGCTGCTTGATATAAGGCTCCCCGGGACCTCTGATTCAGCTCCAGCGGCTATTGCCACTTACTCACGAGCCCTATTCACCATGTAATAATTTAATTTATAACACTGTTTATTAATTAAATAAGAGGCATGTTTTTTTTAATCTATTCTATTAGAGACAAAAATACACAAAAAGTGGCCACATACCATTTTTCTCTAGCATGCTATTTTTCAAAGATGTTTCAATTAGATGATTACCATTCATTTAAAATAGAATATGTATCAAAATTAAATTAAATATTCGTAGAATGTCCTTT